TTATTTTGACATATTGGGGAAATATCCAGAAAGGTTTGACTATACTCCAAAATAGTAAATTACCAAATTTGGGGTAGTGTATGAATCTTTGTTTGTTTGGGGATTCCCCTCAGTAATGCTTTTTTTTTCTTTTTTTTTAATCTTTTTTTTTTGGCTTTTTGGGTCACACCCGGAGATGCTCAGGGGTTACTTCTGGCTCGGAACTCAGGAATCACTCCTGGCAGTTCTCAGGGAACCATATGGGATGCCGGGTATTGAACCCAGGTTGGCCGCTTGCAAGGCAAACGCCTCCCTGCTGTACTATAACTCTGGCCCCTATTTAAAGAGTTTTTAAGACAATTTTTATATTACAGTCAGTTTTTTCACTTCCTCTTGGTTCAGATTTGACTGGTTCATGGTTCTCTATCCTCTCCCTGCTCTCTCTGGCATGACGTTGTGGGCACAGACTTAGCACATAATAAATTTTTAACATAATTTTAAACACAAATAACATTTTTAAATTGATTTTTAAATCATTTAAATCAATCTGCATTTGATTTTTAAATCATTTAAATCAATCTGCATTTGATTTTTAAATCCCGTCTTTACACCTTTGTGCTGATTCATTATTAACATGTGGGATCCCTCGTCTTAATATTTTGTGTCACCTGTTTTCCCGGCTTATGGATACTTTTGTTTGGGTTTTCTCTTTGTCATGTATTAGGTCTATCTCTTTACTTTCACCCATCCCCTTTTTCTTTCTTTATATGTTTTGTGTTCAAAATCTGTTCTTCCACTACTGACTTTGAGCTTTTTTCCATAAAAGGATGCTTGAACCTTTAAAATCTGCAATTCATATCATCTTCCCAAACAATAAGCTTGGAATGCTTTTATTCTGATGATCTCAAATCTACACTGTTTAAAAATTAAGTCATTTTTTTTCAATTATTTTTGGTTGGGGGGGCACACCTGGCTGTACTCAGAGCTTATTCCTGGCTCTGTGTTCAGGGATCATTCGGCCTGTGCGCCGGACACCTTATAGAAGGGAATTGAACCCAGGTCTGCAGCGTACAAGGCAAGCGCCACCCGCTGTACTATCTCTTTGGCCCCTTTAAGCTAATTTATTTTAAAGAACAGATTTTTCTACCTTTACTCCTATTTCATTTTTTGGTTTGTTTCTGTTTTAGCTTTATAGTCGTTGGTATTTGGGTCTTATGATAGGGCTCTGTGATAGGGCTGGTGGGCCCAGGGGACCATGCAGGGTGCCAGAGACTGAAGCCATCAGACACCCTAAGGCAAATGCCCTACTCCCTATATTCAACAGAGCTGAGTCAATTAACGTTGATGAGTGTAAGGTAAAATAGGTAATAGATATTTGTCTACTGTGAAGGTTTTTTTTTAAATTTTTTTATTGAATCACTATGACATAGACCCTTACAAAGCTGTTTATGATTAGGTTTCAGTATACAGTGTTCCAACACCCACCCCCCTACACGTGTACATTTCCCAGCACCAGTTTCCCAAGTTCCCTCCTCCCCCCTGCTGTCACCTGCCTCAATGGCAGGCACTTTGCTTCTCTCTCTCTCTCTTTCTCTCTCTCTCTTTCTCTCTCCCTCCCTCTCTCTCTCTCTCCCTCCTTCCCTTTCTCTCTCCTCTCTCTTTTTCCCTCTCCCTCTCCCTCCCCTCTCTCTACTTTTGGGCATTGTAGTTTGCAATACAGATTACAGTGAAGGTTTTGATACATGAATTTTGATTTTGATACATGAAATTTCCTGGAACAAACAATCTCAGGCCCACTGACCTTGGAACTATTGAAACTTTCAATGTTTCAGGCACACATTTTGTTCTTCTGATAATTCTGAGAGAAACTCGGCTTTTTAAGACAAGCAGCAGAAAAAGTGAAAGTACATATAAGCTAAATGTCATGGTGATAAGCTTGTAATTATTTGCTTCTTTTACTTAGGATTTTATCTCAAAAACACAGTGTCAGAAACATCTCGTTTTCTGAAGTTCCGAAGCTGCTAATCTAGATTCTTCACAGTGCTCTTTTCAAACCTGAATTATGACAACATTCTACCACATGTGGAGGCACTTCTCTTCCATGTTGTACGGCATTACTGCCCAGCGCTTTATTGCATATTGTATCACTCTAACTTCATGATTGTTATGAGGTTAATCTTTGCTTAAATTGCCAACACACTTACAATTATCTCTATTGGTGATTTCTCCTAGACTCCTTTGAGGACTTAGTTTCCTGAAATTTATCTTTTATTCGTGCTTTCTGGAATGACTTGCATTAGAAATGTTATTTTCAGGGACATTTACAGGGACAATAGCAACATCAAAATGGAACATTTTGTTGTATTTTAAAGTTTAGGTGCCAAGTGAAAACATGCAATGAGCTTTTCGTGTTCCGTGCCTTTAGACTCCACTGCTCTCTCTCTCCTCTTCTGAAGAATCTGCTCCTCGGCCATCATTTTGTACCGTCATGAATAGGCACTTGGAGAATCATCATTTACAGTCCAAGGAGCTATTTTTAGTGCTATATTCTGTTACATCCTTTTTTGAAATCACATTTGCAAGTAACATGACAAGCATCATTTTTATTTTAATGATTAAGTGTTGGGTTTGCTCGAGCGGGCCCAGTAACGTCTCCATTGGAGACTTTGTTACTATTACTTCACAGTGACAGATACACTTTTTTTCAAAATTTCACATGAAAAGTCTATTTTATATCTGGCAATAAGCACTGCCAGTTGTTTTTCCATGAAGTGACAGACAGACTTCTGGACTCATTCCTAGTAAAATATCCAACCAACACCCGACTCTGAATTAGGATGATCTGTCTGTCTCTCTTTCGGGTTACAAAAAAAAGTGCCGTTCCATGAAAACAAAAAGTTGTTATTTTGTGGGGGGATTTTCAAATGGTGTTTCCTGAGCTGGGAACTATATTTGCTCCTTCAAAAAACATAAAAAGAATTCATGAGAACCAGGACTGAGGGGGCTGTGGGGCATGTATCAGTCAAAGAAGGTTCATCTTTCTTGGACAGAAGTGAGGGATGTGGATGCTCTTCCAGATGGCAGGGCATTCACGGAGGGCTTCTGAGTGGGCAGGGAGGCAAAGTCAGAGTGAAGTTTTCCAAAGAGAACTCTAGAGGCCCCAGGGAAAGGAAGGGACAAAGGTGGCAACTGTGACAGGGAGGCAGTGGAGCCCCCACTCCAGCAGGAGGGAGGCCATCTGAGGCCCTCATGACAGCTGGTCTAATGGAATGTGCTTACCCAGCTCTCAGAGAGCCCAAGCAACCGCTGCCTCCTCCGAGATGCCAACCTCCAGGCTGCCAGCGCCCCCCAGAAGACCCACTGAGCTGGAGAAAGCATGATCCCCACCGGGCTGATGGGAAGGTAAAGCTCTCTCTACAGCAACGTCATTCTCCAGAGCAAGGAGAAAATCTTCATGATGAGCTTGAACATTTTCCCCTCCTGTTATTGGGACTTAAGATTTTCTGTTTTAAAATTTGGGGGGGGGTTGTTTGTGGTCACACCTGGCAGTGCACAGGTCTTACTCCTGGCTCAGCACTTCTGGGCCACTCTGCTTGGTGCTCAGATTACAGGAGGTTCCTGCTACATGCCAGGCAAGCATCTTGCCCACTGTCCTCTCTCCACCCCAAATGGGATTTTTTTGAGGGGGCCAATAACCAAAGGTGCTCAGCGCTTTCTCCTGACTGTGCTTAGGAATCACTGCTGGCAGGGTCTGGGAGACCATATGTGGTTCCAAGGACTGAATCTAAGTCAATTGTGTGTCTGGCAAGCGCCTTACCACTATACTGTCTGGCCCTAGTTGTTTGTTTGTTTGGGTTTTTTAAATTTTAACTTGGTTGTTTAACCTTTTGCCATACATTTCCCTCGGGTAGACGGAGGACCCGGAGGGTGAAGAAAGGAGGGATTCCAGGCTGCAGGGTGCTCCTGGAAAGCCCTGAAGTGTGTGTCCCAAGAACAGCAGGCTAATCCCATCCTCAGACTGAGAGGTCCTGAGACTGCGGTATTCAGTCCAGCTCTCTCAGCAGTGCTCATCTTTATTTGGTGAGCCCATGATAGGAGGGTCAGGGTTTTTGCAGGGCAAACCAAAGCTGCAGATTGACCAAAGATGCGATGTCCACTGCCTTAATCTCACTCAAGAAAATCATTGATGAAAAAGGCAGCAATGGCGCAGGGAGACAGAGATGAGGACTCAGCTTCCTGTGCCACTGCATGTGACGTCAGGTATAAACGAGGAGGACGCTTCCCGTGTGCCTCTTCCCTCCTGCTATTCTCGCGTCTTGGACAGTCCTCACCAGCCTGGGGCTCCAACCTCAGTCCGCACCTGGGTGCTGCTCCCGGGGGCCCCGGCAGATGGAGACCCCTAGTGCTGGTCTTCAGGGCCTTTCCCAGTGCTAGAGAGTAAAACTGACCCTTTCCATTGCAGGCAATCGTGACCATTTTATTAATCCTACCCTGCAATTCTTTTTTTAAATATTTTTAATGAATCACTGTGAGATATAGTTACAGTCTTATGAACTTTCGTGATTACATCTCAGTCATACAATGATCAAGTACTCATCCCTCCACCAGTGCCCATTCTCCACCACCAATCTTCCCAGGATCCCTTCCACCACCCCCATCCCATCCCCGCCCCCGCCTCTGTGGCAGGCACATTCCCTTATATTCTCTCTCTCCTTTAGGGTGTTATGGTTTGCAATACAGGTAGTAAGTGACCATCATGTTTGGTCTACAGTATACTTTCAGCATATGTCTCCCATCCCAAGAGAGCCCTCCAAGCATCATTCACTTAGCCTGCAGTTCTTTTATCTGGGTCCATATTTCCCCAAGAAACTGGGGGTTTCTCTAGACCCAGGGGTGATATCTTTACATAGAACATCTACTTCTATTCCATGGCTATGGATTTTCAGTAAATTGCAACCAACGCATTAACTTAGGCTATTTCCCTTTTCCCTAAAATATCCATCCTTTCGCCTGGATTTCAGGATGCCCTGCACAGCGAGTGGTACATTGGGGAGCACAGTCGCCAGGCAGTCGAAGAGGCACTGATGAAAGAGAACAAGGTATGACCATCTTACTGTCTTCTGCCCACTGGCCACAGTGAACAGAGCAGGTTCTATGCTTTGAGGTCATGGTTCCTTCATCGTCTTCTATTTCACAGTACCCGGACAGTTGTAAATCTAAGGGGAATTTCAGAGGGTAATTTTCTCAAGTTCCTAAACATTTTTAGGTCAGTTAACATTTGAAGACAGTGGTATCCGGGCTCGGGAGCTATTTTTAAATCATGGGTGTATGCTGGGATCTTAATGCCTCTCTCACCTTCGGGACACTGACCCAAAGGCCAGTGGGTCTCAGCCTTTGGGGACAGGCTACTGCTGCAAGACTATAGGAACAAAATTTAACAGGAACTCGGCTGCACAGCATGCCAGCCAGTTTCTTGTTGTCTGTTTACTCAATTTCACATGCAGACAGCTGGTGGCCCGGCCTTACATGTGCTCATTCTGAGCACATTCTGATCAGCAATGCATCCTCTCAGAGCAGTTCAGGCTGGGGCCATGCATTGCATGTCCCAGGACCCCAGTTTGACTCCCAGGACTACCTGCCCCTCAATACCACCAAACGTGGTCCTGATGGTCCCCAGCACCACAGAGCCCCAAATGTCCACTGTGCTCAGCCCTGAACATTGAGCCATCTAGCCCAGTTGGCTAAGTGTCACCAGGGAAATCCCTTCTATCCCATGAGCACTGCTTAGGAGCTACCCCTCATAAGAATAGTGACATACTTCACTCCCATCCCATCTCATCGACCAAAATCTACAGACAGACCTTCAAAGCAAGGGCAGGGAGTTCAAACCTACTATGTGATTGAGTCCAAAGACTCCTGCCACTGTCTTCCCCAAGATGGAGTCACTGGGGATGACAAATGATCTCACCATGGTCAGAGAACTAGTATAATCCAGAGACAGGTTCTCAACATTGAGGCGGCATCAAATCTTGTCCTCAAATAATGAGAACAATATAACGGTCATTGTTGAGTGAAGGGATACTAAATAATGAGTGCTAGAGCTACAGCACAGTGGCGTGGGCATTTGCCCTGCACGTGGCTCACTGGGTTTGATTCCCAACATCCTGTATGGTACCCCAAGCACCACCAGGAGTGATTGCTAAGTGCAGAGCCAGGGATAGGTCCTGAGTACCCCTGGGTGTAACTCCCTGAATTGTTTGTATTTAGTTGATGAATTAGTGAGTAGATAGGAACCTCTCAAACATCTCAATAAAGCTTAGCTCTCAAAGTTGTGTTATCTAAACAAGATAGACATATGTATAATGCAACAGTAAAGAGAATGATGTCCCCCTCAAAAGACTTCCTAATTTCATGAATGTGTGAGCACACACTTGGGATAAGGAACCTGAGGAGATTCTCCTGGATAAACCGGGTGTGTTCAGGACCATCAAGTGGGTCAAGAGAAGAGGGAGGAAAGAACACCAGGAGCTGGAAGGAATCAGAGGTTTCTCCTAGAATCTCTTGAAGGAACACAGTTGTACCTATACCTGGCCTTTAGCCCAGAGTTCAGTGCCAGAATTGGACCCCCACAGCCATAGCAGCGGCAGAAGCCATAGCAGCCATAACAGTTGCCAGGAAAGTCTCTCAAGTGAGTGTTGGAGGTGAGAAAGGGGAGGTGGAGTGAGGACCTTGGTCACTGAGTGAGTATCCCCAGGGTACCCCACCACATATGCTAGGTGGAAGAATGGTGCAGGGGTGCTAACCTCACATGGACTCCACGCAACCTGCCAGGTTCCTGAGCACCATCCCCCTTCTGAGACACACACACACACACACACACACACACACACACAGCATCTCCCTAAGTCAACTTCCCAGCCAGCGCCCTGTTCCTTGAAAAACTGACCCAGGAGGCCAGTGCCAGCTGTCCTGGGAGTCACTGTGTGTCACCTGATGTCCTTCTGGCAGCCATCTTCCCTTATCCCTGAGTCCACTTCTGGCTCTTCCCAAAACCCTAAGAAGAAAATGAAATAAATTCCTATTTTTTTCCTGTCTCATGGGTCTTGGTCAGTTTTGTGACAGTGTGTTTCCCTTCAAGATCATGGGCCACCTTCTGCCCTTGAGTCCTAAGTCTTTGATCCTAGCTGTACCATGCAGTGGAACAACTTCCAACAATTCAGTCCCTTAGTCCTTCTCACTGTGCTCAAAGGCTCCTGGAGGGTGTGAGAACTTGGATCTGCCATTCAGAGAAGCCATCAGCCAGCTGGCCAACCCGAGTTCGATTCCTCCGTCCCTCTCGGAGAGCCCGGCAAGCTACTGAGAGTATCTCGCCCGCACGCAGAGCCTGACAAGCTACCCATGACGTATTCGATATGCCAAACACAGTAACAACAAGTCTCATGATGGAGATGTTACTGAGCCCGCTAGAGCAAATCGATGAACAACGGGAGGACCGTGACCGTAATCTTCAAGCATCTATGAAATATTTTCTCTGAACATATTAAATATAGGTAGATAAAAAATTCTATAATTATAGATAATATTCTAACAATCATTAAAATATATATTACTATGTATAGGTAAAGGTAAAGGCCCTCCCATTGATCGTCGATTTGCTGGAGCGGGCCCAGTAACATCTCCATTGGAGACTTTTGTTGTTACTCTGTTTGGCATATAGAATACAATCACGGGTAGCTTGCCAGGCTCTGCTGTGCGGGCGAGATACTCTCGGTAGCTTGCAGGGCTCTCCGAGAGGGGCAGAGGAATCGAACTCGGGTCAGCCATGTTGGCCGCTTGTAAGGCGGACGCCCTACCCACTGTGCTATCGCTCCAAAAATAAAGTAGATTATCCCTTTTAAATATGTTTCTAGAGACTTTTTTACTTTTATTGCTATTGTTATCTTTTAGGTAATAAGACTAATATTGCTTTAATTTGGATTATTGATACACAAAGTTTCTGCATACAACACACCCACCCATACCCCTTTGCGACGAGATCTACACAACCATTTGTCTCAGTATTTGCATCCAACACGACAGTGTAAAACTCCAGAACTCTGCCCAATAATTGCATGTAGCCAGGGAGGCTTATTCCTCAGCGTTCTCCCACTGGGTTGGACCTGCACAGTTTGCCAGCCAGTACCTCCGAGTGCTGGTCCACACTGTGCCCAGTCTCACCCAGACTACCCCGCACCGCTCACCTGCTCGTGGCAGCCTGCCTTCTCCAGCCCTCGACTTCTAGAGCTGGAGACTGTCTGCATTTCCTTCTGCCTCTCAGACCCTTCCATCTTTTCCTGCACTCCCCCTGCCTAATGGGTGCGTCTGGAAGCTCATCCGTCTTCCTTTGGCTTCAGGATGGCACTTTCTTGGTTCGAGACTGTTCTGCGAAGTCCCAGGCAGAACCATACGTGCTGGCAGTGTTTTATGGGAACAAAGTCTACAATGTCAAGATCCGCTTCCTGGAGCTAAGCCAGCAGTTTGCACTGGGGACAGGACTCCGGGGAGAGGAGGTGAGTGTTGCTTCACAGCATCCCTTTTCCAGGCAGAGGGTTTGCAAGGTGGTGCCAAGGCATCTCCAAGCCCCCATGCATGAGTGAGAAGGTGCACCAGCCTGCAGATGGAGAAGGTGACCCAATGCTTCCAGCTCCTTCCACAAGCAGCTGGGCAGCCAAGGCGGAGCCCCAGACCCTTGAGCTGCTTGACTAGAAAATTGCTCCAAGACTAAAGTTCTGTCTCCCAGGGGTCTCCCAAGCCCCATGCTGAATCCCCATTGCAGGTACTTCTGACATATCGGTTAGGAAGGACTTGGGAAGTGTGTGACTCCAACGCAGACAAGAGCTCACTCATTATGTGCTACAATAAGCTAGTTTATACTTGGCACTGGCCTGCTGGTTATAGAGAGGAAGAATGAGCCTCAAGAACATTCTACCAATCTTCACCAAAATGTCAATGCTATATGTTCTCCATATGATCCCATCTCCATATGATGCGGTTTTAATCTCCAACTTTCTGGTGTAATGGCTGTAATTTTAATGTAGGGAAACTGAGGCCAAGAAAATTAAATGGCTAGAATGTTGCATTAGTTAAGAGGCAAGGAAGAGAGGGAAAGAGGGAGGAAGGGAGGGAGGGGGAAGAGAGAAGGAGGAAGGAAGGAAGGAAGGAAGGAAGGAAGGAAGGAAGGAAGGAAGGAACCAGAGCATGAGTGAATCAGAGTCAGAAGGGAGAGACCAAATTCTGCCTTCACATTACCAAAGCGTTGAGTCAGAGTTAGGCAAGAAGCCAAGCTTTCCCTGTGTGAAGTCATTCCATTCACTATCAGGACCCTTGGCCTCAGACAGCCATGAGGGGACAGTATATGGTTCTCATTGCTCTTTCCAAGTGATTCTAAAGATGAGGCCCCTCGGTGAGATCCCCTCCCCAGCCCTCTGGTGAGTGGACATTCCATCTCTGTCTCCCTTCATCCTTTTCTTCTCCCAGCTCAGAGAATTTCTCATTTCAATATAATAGAGCTTTGGCTTAAATAAAAAGGACAGGGCTTAAGGCAACTGTCTTCCACGTGGCCAACCCAGGTTCAATCCCCGACACCACCCAGGGTTCCCTGAGCACTGCCAGGAGTGATCCCTGAGCAGAGTCAGGAGTAAACCAAAAATAACAACAACAGTAATAAACTCTCGGAATAAGATGCAGATGGAACCTCAAATGTCCCTGTGATGGTCAGGAGGGTACATCCAAAGTCACTGACCATGACCATGGACATTGCCTGCGAGCCTGGATGGAGGCATCTCTGAGGGTGACTCCCAGGTGGAACCGCTGTGCCCTGCAGTCTGTCTGCTCCTGGACGTGCTGTTTCCTGGCCCCCTCCTGCTGCTGAGAACCCACTCGCACTCAGCTATAACATCTACCCACCCAGGATTCCCAAAAGCTGCAAGCTGACTGTGAGAGGAAGGGAGGGGTGTGGACAAGCCAGTCCCCAAGGGCACAGGAGTAAAGGAAGCATCAGGATGGTTTGGAATTCCTTCAGGGGTTAGAAGCGTTCTCTGTTGCATACCATTGATGGAGAAGGCTCTGAGGCTGCGGCCAATGGACAAGGGTAGAACGGGGCAGCAGTGCCATCCACCCTTGTCAGCCCAACTGAGGAAACCCAAGGAAGGTCTCAGGCTGCTGCTCTGCAGAGACCACACCCACCAGGGCAGCTTCCAGGCTGAGTGAGGACATTTCCTGTGGGATTCTGGGAAGAGCTCTCCAGGGAGAAGCTTAGGAACAGCCAAATGCTTTGCAAGAGAGGGGAAGGAGTGTGGGTGTTCTAGATGCTACTCTGAAAAGGCTTGGTGAGGGCCAGTGATGCAGGCACTGGCAAGGACAAGCAGGGTTTTAACAGGTTGGCCTGCAGGTCATCACCTCTTGATTTTGCAGTAGCTGTACAGAAGCGCCCTTGGTTATTCTCAGAAGACTCACAGGTTCTGTTCAGTTGCCAAAGGTGCCTCTCTTCTTCAAGTGCACGTGACCTGGTTTCAACCCCTGGCCAATGGACTGGACTTGGAACTTTGGTCTTGGAGCTGAGCAGTCTAACATCTGGTGGTTCCCTCCGGGGACAAAGAGGCTGGTGGCCCTGCTTGCTAGAGAGGGCGACTCCTTGTCATAAGGCTGCTGCAGGGAAACAGGAGAGAAACAGGGAGACTGGATGGGACTTTCAAGAAGCTCTTCTGAAATCAAGAGCCTGGTGTGCTAATGCAGGGACCAAGGCACCTGCCTGCTATGTGACCAACCCCATTTTGACCCCCGGCACCGTATATGGTTCCCTGAGCACTGCCAGGTGTCACTTCTGAGCACAGAGCTAGGAGTTAGTTACCCGTGAGCACCACTGAGTATAGCCCCACAACCCCATCCCCCAAAATAAACTAATACGCTATCTTGGCAGAGAGTACTTTAATAAATGCCTTAAGAGAACTTAAAATATGAAACGGCATTAGATATGAATAATCACTTAATCACTTAATCACTTAATCCCCGTTATTCATTGATTTATTCGAGCGGGTGCCAGTAACGTCTCCATTCATCCCGGTTGTGTGCTAGCGTAGCCCAATGGTATCTGTTCATTCCAGGAACATGCAGAGCCTCAAACCGATCATTTAGGGTCTTGACGAAGAAGTCTGACCATCTTGTAGGTGGGCGTCCACGTGATCTTTTGATGTCCCATGGAATCCAATCAGTAATGGCTCTAGTCCAGCGGTTGTCTGTAAACCTCATTACATGTCCAGCCCATCTGATTTTTGATGTCTTGGCAAATGAGACAGCGTCTCTGATTCTTGAGCATTGACGAAGATCTCTCATTTGAGTGAATCGTGATATTCCAAGCATAGTTCTTTCGATTCCTCTTTGAGAGACCCGAATAGCGTTCTCATCCCGTTTTCGTAGGGTCCAGGTTTCTGAGGCATATGTTAATGCAGGAAAAACAGTGGAATCAAAGAGATGTGCTCGTAGCTGGAGGTTCTTTGTCCTTTTAGTTATTTCTTCAATGCTCTTGAAGGCATTCCAAGCCGCTCTCTTCCTCCTGCACAACTCAGGTGCCAGGTCATTCATCATGTTGATTTCTTGACCTAGGTATATATAACTGTTGCATTCGGAGATGGTGGTTACGTTGAGAGCGAATGGAGCGTCAGGAACAAGGCTGTTTCTCATAAACATTGTCTTCGTAAGATTCAGCTGTAGTCCGACCTTTCCACATTCACGGTCAAAGTCGTTCAGCATTTGTGCTGCTTGGCTGATGTTTGGTGTTATTAGAACGATGTCATCAGCAAAGCGGAGGTGGTGTAGTTGCCGACCATCTATCTTCACTCCCATGCTTTCCCATTCCAGTCGTTGCATGATGTTCTCGAAGGTGGCACTGAAGAGTTTTGGTGAAATGGTATCACCCTGCCGAACCCCTCTCTTGATATGGATGATTACTTCTTTGTAGAATGGTGAGATCTTGGTAGTGAATCCGCAAGAGAGATCACGAAGGATCCTGATGTATTGAGTTTGTACGCCCTGATTGGCTAGGGCTTCCATGACCGCTTCCATCTCAACAGAATCAAAGGCCTTCTTTAAATCAATGAACGTTAGACAGAGTGGCATCTTGAACGCCCGAGAAACCTCAATGAGCTTAGTAATCGTGTGGATATGGTCGATGGTACTGAATCCTTTTCGAAATCCGGCTTGTTCACATGGTTGTCCTTCATCTAGTGTTCTGCTAATCCTATTCAGGATGACTCCAGTGAATAGTTTGTAGATGACAGACAATAGGCAGATTGGGCGATAGTTGCCAATGTCATGGATGTCTCCTTTCTTGTATAGTAGTACAGTCCTGCTGGTTTTCCATTGGGATGGAACCTTGTATTCAGACATGTAACGTGTGAAGAGCCGAGCCAATGTATTGATGAGTACTGATGGTAAATTCTTCAGGTGTTCAGGTCTGATCTTGTCTGGGTCAGGTGCTCTTTGTTTCTTTACCGACGAGATGGCATGTTGGATTTCGGAAGGGAGAACATTGGGAACGACATATCCATCATGTGGTATGTGGTATGTGGGCAAGTGGACGTGGCTATTAAAGAGATCTGAGTAGAAGTCATGAATAATCTTCTCCATTGTCCTTCTGGAAGATGTGATAGATCCATCATGATGTCGGAGGGCAGTCATCTTGGTTTTGTAGTTGGTGAAGGACAGGCGGGCATTACGAATGCTTTTCCCAGCTTCTGCCGCATCTACCAGTACTGCTGCTCTCCTGTTTTTGAGGTCATCTTTGATGGCTTCTCTTTACTGTTTTGCCAGTTCGGATATTCGCTTGTGGTTGCCTGAGGCATGTGCCAAGCCACGTTGGCGAATAAGTTCAAGAGTGTTCAAAGAAAGGCTGTTTTTTTGTGGTTATCTCTCACTTGGCATTCCTTGCACAATCATGGAGGTGCTGAATCATTCGATCGTATTCCTCATCAATGTTGTCAATGACGGCATCTTCCCATGTTGCCGCAACAGAGCCAAAGAGCTCCCAGTTGGTGGTTGTTCTGGGAGTCCTCTTCTTAAACCTTGCATTCTTTACTCCTCGTTCTATGAGGTAGAATTTTGCACGAAGAAGACGGTGGTCTGATTCCCGTTTGGAATTTTGGGACAACAGCAACATCGGTTCGGCAAAACCGCCGATTGAATATGATGTGGTCTATTTCATTGTGGAACCATCCATTGGGAGACTCCCATGTCCAAAGTTTAGATTCAGCCTTTTGGAACTGCGAGTTACCATGGAAGGTTTTGGTTGACATGATGAACTCAGACAGTCTGTCACCCTGTTCGTTCCATTATAGGCCATGGGTCCCGATGTGGAGTTCATCGACTGATCTTCTTGGTCCTATCTTGGCATTAAAATCACCGACAATGATCTTGTAGAAGGTGTGATCTTCTTTATAGAACTTCTCCAGCTCCATGTAGAATTTCTCAGTTTCTCTTTCACCGTAACTGGATGTTGGTGCATAATAATAATAAATGAATAATAGCATAAATGAATAATAGCAATAATAATAAATCTCTAGATGAAATGGGATAGGGCCTCACTCTGAGGTGCTCAGAGCTGACTCCTGGTTCTATGCTCAGGGGTCATTCCTGGTGATCGAACCTGAGTCGGCTGTGTTAAAGGTTAGTACTATGCCCACTCTACTATTGCTCTTGCCACCAAAAGTTCCCTTTTGTGCTATTCCAGAGTATTCTCCTGTGCATCCAAGGGCATTTTCCTGTGGAGGTTTTTGAGAATGATCCCGCCCTTGGGTCAGGTGCAGACACTATTCAGGGCATTCAGCAGTTGCCAGCCGCCTTTATTGACTTAATTCTCACAGTCTCCCACAAAGAGAAACTGCCAGTGTATTCATTAAACCGAGGGGGAAACGGGCCAAAATGCAAACAGGCTCCGTGAACAGGCAGCACTCCCAGCTAATACAGTTGGCAAAACTGAAATTCAAGCAAGGCAGGCTGCGCAATTACTGACTTCTAAGGGTCCTCAAGAGAGCTCCATGACCAAACGCAATCACTGACACCCCCTGCAAGCAGCCTACCCTGTGGCTAAGGCAAGTTGATGCTCCAAGGAGTTGAGAGCATGGAGAAAAGGGTAGTTTCAGGTGTCTCCACCTACCTCTCCTGGAACAGTGAAGCCAGACATCTGGATTGTTCCCATTTCCTTCATGCCTTTCTCAGTGGGAGTCCTTTGTCATGCTGAGCAAGATTTTTCAAAGAGAAAAGAATCTGATAGAACACAGACTGCCTACATTGTTGGGAACTTGAAACAGCAACAGTGGGGCATCTAAGTATCCTCCCCCCAACCCCCCACCCCCCCACCCCGCCTACAGAGAGCAGCTAATAGAAATTGAGGTTCTCCAGGATGATTTTGATTCTGTGTAGCTTTTTGGACCATTTTGCCAGGTATAGAATGGAACTCGGGTGTAATCTCGAGTGGAAGATGAGTTTATGTAAAAGTGCCAGACACAGAGGCAGATAGATACTAATGTGTGTGAGTTTCCATCTTTTTTTTTTTTTTTTTTTTTTTTTGCTTTTTGGGTCACACCTCGCGATGCTTAGGAGTTACTCCTGGCTCTGCACTCAGGAATTACTCCTGGCAGTGCTTGGGAGACCATATATGGATGTGAGATGTCAGGGATTGAACCCAGGTTAGCCACGTACAAGGCAAACACCATACCTGCTGTACCAGAGTTTCCATCTTAAACGACGCCCTCAAAGAGCATCTTAAATGAGGGTTACAGGAAGAGTCCCAAGGACACCCCAGAAAAAACAGAGGAAGCCTTGCAGAGGAACCCCCCCCCACACACACACACACAGTCCCTGAGGGGGAGCTAGTGCACGTAGCCTGCCTAGAATAAGCCTGGCAGCGTTGGTGGTGATGCCAAAGGAACCTCTGGACCAGTCCTTGTTTTATGGCTCGGAACTCGGGACTGAATTCACATCTAGTTCTCTGTGGGTGTTGTAACTGTTCTCAAAAAAGCACAGTAACAACAGAATGGAAATGAGGTGACTGGCAACAGAACACTTTAATTTGGAAAGGGTCCTCACAGTACAGGCTGGAAAACAGCTTCCAAAGAGGGAGACAGGGTCTGGGTTTAGCAGAGACAGCAGGATATAACACTTTCTGGCAGTTTTTCAAGAACCCCGGCTCACTCACGAAGAATGTCAAACATGCATCTACAGAGAACATATGCTCTGTGGACAGAAAACTCTGGAAAGCACCTTAGCGTGCCTTGCCTCCCAGCAGCCTTGATTCTGGCACCACATGTGGTCCTCAGAGTACCCCAGGGGTACTCAGCCCAGAAACAGAAATAGCCCTTGAGTACTTCTGGGTGCAGCCTCCGGATTCCTTCCCAGGACCCCCAAAAGAGCTGAATTGGAGCCTGTTCTCGGTCTCTAAGGGCTGCAGCCCCATCCTGTGAAGATTAGTTTCATTTAGAATGCCGCCATCCTGTAGATTTAGTCTCACAGTCAATGTTGAGCTTATTCCTCTGGGCCTGTCCTTAAGAAAACAGGACAGCGACAGGGAGTCTGCTCTTCCCCATGAAGGGGCTGAGCAGATAGGAGCATGCCCAGTGAGGGGGAGCAGGTCTGCACGAAAAGGCCTTTGCTTTGCTTCTTTTTTTTATTTTCCCTTTTTTCCCTTATTTTTATTTATTTATTTATTTTTTAAGGGGAGGTCCCACCTGGTGGTTCTCAGGGCTTACTCCTGGTTCTGCACTCAGGGATCACTCCTAGAGGTGCTCAGAGGTGCTCAGATGGGATGCTGGGGAATGAACTCGGGTCAGTCATGTGCAAGGCAGATGTATTATAGACAGTACCCACTGGACTATTTCTCCAGCCCCCTGAGAACTGAGGTTTCTTTTACTTTTTAAGTTTTTGGGTCAAACCTTGCGATGTTCAAGGATCACTCCTGACAGTGTTCTGAGGATCTTATGGGATACCAAGAATTGAACCAAGGTCAGCCACATACAAGGCATGTGCCCGCCCTGCTGGATAGAACACGGAGCAGATCAACTAACTGGGAAATTTGAGCCCACCTGTCAGGGACTGGGGTAGGTCATCTCCTGAGCTCTGGCCCAGAACGCAGAAGCAGGCAGGACTAGCAGTGGACCCTCCCATCAGGGCACTCTCTGAGCATGAAGACAAACTTCTCTGATGAGAAGGAAATCAGAAATGTTTTATTCCACTGTGTGCCTGGGTTAATGGCCCTGGAACGCTCTTTAGAGAAGCTTTAAGCCAAATGGAATTGGCAGATTCCCTGTCTGCTGGCTGTGTCTTCACCAGTGGGCAGAATGTTTAAGAAGTGGCGTGCGTGGCCTACCTCTCAGAGAAAGAGCAGGGCCTCGCCCAAATGCTGAACTCCAGCAGTGTAGGGTGCATGTCAGGACTGGCGCCGGCAGGGTGAAGAGATCATGTGATTCTGGTTTCCAGTGATGAAACAGGATTAGGCCAAATGGTAAGAATCTCCCTTCAGACCCTGGTCTGTTGGAAGATCACATCCACCACCTACACGTTCACTTGTCCAGCAAGAGAAAATGGTGTCCAGAGAAACAGCCTCCATTCCTGGCCCTGGCCCCTCTAGCTTGTAGCTTGGGACTGGAAGTGAGTCCTCCTAGTACTGCTCAGAGTTGAGCTGGCAGCAGTCTCCTGGGCTGGTCGCAAAGGTCATTGACCCAGCATAGAGCCCATCTGGTCTTCAGTAGAGCAGGTGGTTGTGCTGGGCCCTCCTGATGCTCCCTTCCAGGCCTTCCTCTCCAGAAGGCTCCTAAACTCGCCTCCTCAGAGCCGCTGTCTGCACCCAGGTGTTCTCAGGCCTGCTTCCTGCTTCCTCTGCCCCCATTCCTCTACACCCATGGAGAACACCCAGCATGGACAGCCGATTTCAAGTCTACAGCTGCAACACAGCTCTTTCTGGCCTCCCTAGCCTTGAAATGGCCCGGTTTTCCATAGCAAGGCCCTGTGTGCAGCGGGGAACGAAGCCCTGTAATCACGGACTGCCACCATCTCGGCACTTCACAAGAAGTCGAGGAAAAGAAGTCGTGACAGTTGCTCACAACTACCACCACCTCTGGGCACCCCTTTTATCCGATTGCGGTAGTACCCCTTAGGATGACAGGGCTTTGCAGGCCATCAAGTTAGTTCCCTACTGTCATTTTTCACTACTCTGCCAAGTAGAGGTCACGGCTTGACCCTGCTACATTTTGCTTTGTCACCATTGGGTTCAAGGTGAAACAGATATGCTTTCTCAAGGTTGTACCCTATGATTAACTCGTTGAACTCCTCAACATTTTTTTCCAGAATTGTCACAGAATAGAGCTGACCAGGTCATAGACCACCTGCCCCATTTTGGGAGGATGAGAGAGCAGTAGTAGGGCTTCCCCTTCATCTCCCCAAGCACCAACGTCCTCCCAGGTTATCTTTTTCCTATTTCTTCTCCTTCCCAAGTTGCTCACCCTGTCCTTTTTTTGTTAAAGTCACTTCTATTGGGAAATACATCCTAGTTTTGAAGGGCCAAACCACAGAAGAAACATATATATGATATAGCTCCCCTATCCCCCACAAATGTGTTTCCATGAATTAACACCCTTCCTAAGTAAAACAAAGCATCTTGGGCTGTAATGACACAGAAGTTATTGACAACCCTGTTAACTTGTTTTGCTGTCTTTCAGAAGTTTAATTCGGTGGAGAACATCATTGAACACTACAAGCATTCTCCCATCATACTCATTGATGGGAAGGATAAAACTGGGGTTCGCCGGGAACAGTGCTACCTCACCCAGCCCCTCCCTCTCAGGAGACACTTCTTGTCTTGGTAAACTGGTCTCTGTTACACCTTCAGTTCAGTAAACCTCACACCTCCATCATTTCTTCATTTATTTCAAAAGGAATTACTTCGTCAGCATCGTAGAAAAGAGAAACACTCTATAATGGAAATTTGGAAAATCAATCCTGATTTTGAAGGGCCAAGCCATCGCAGAAACATTAGCATGGTATAAAAATAGAGCTAGCATAGAAGACTCTTCTAGGGTGGGGAGAGAGTGCAAGTGGTAAAGCATCCTGAGCACTGCTGGGGAGCGCCCTGGAGGCATCCAGCTGGGTGTACCTATCTCTCTAAAGCTTGCAAACATACCGAAAATGTCTTTTAATGAAAAAACTGCTAACACGGTCATGACCAAAGAACGAAAGGGTCACAAAAAGCTAGCTGAAATGTTTGCCCTTATCAGTGGCCCAGACTGCACAAACTCATTAAGTCTATCTCTGTGGGGGACCTGCAGCTTTCCTTCTTTAATTCAGAGCCACTTAGGATTATAAATTTACAATATTTTCATAATCTGTCATGCTGAAGATGCTGGTGAATGTGAACCTCACTTGATATCAAAGTTCAACTCTGGGGCCAGAGCAATAGTGCAGCGGGGAGGGCATTTGCACCTGCAGCCAACCCGGGTTCAAACACTGGTATCCCATATGGTCCCCCGAGTATCATTAGGAGTGATTTCTGAGTGCAGGGTAGCCCCTGAGCATCACCAGGTGTAGCCCAAAAAGAAAGAAAAGAAAAAAGTTCAAGGAAGGTGTTTTTCATAGTGAGGGGACTTGGAAATATCCCTTTAGAGGTAGGAATCAAAATTGCTTTTATAATGGTATATATGGGTGTGAGAAATAGCACAGTGGGTAAAATGCCATCAACACAGCCGACTAGACCCAGATTTGATCCCTGCACTATATCTGGCCCCCCAAGCACCTTCAGGAGTCGTCCCCAATGGGGACCAGAGAGAAAACCCTGCACACAGTGATATAAAGTCCCCCGCTCAAAAAATAGTTATTAAAGGGCACAATCTTAATATACTATTTAGAGATGCGTTGAGCCAAATGGAGCAAATTCACAGATGGGGGATCGAAGTCGAATGAAGCCCTTCCCTTTTGAACCCCAGTCGGGGGCTCCACTTCAGGAGAGAACAGACCTCAAACTGGTGTGCTGTGAGGCTGCAGCTGAGCAAATTCCTGGACTCCCCGCTCTCAAAGGATTTTAGTTATTCTCTTTGCCACTATGGACGAGGAAACAGATGTGGTAACACCAATGATCTCTTTGAATGTCTAAGACGAAAGCCCTGATTGTACCCATTCTACCTGCCTCCATCCGAACGGAACGTCCCAGCTCTGTACAATGTCCCTAAGGAACTGGAATAACACCTAGTTGAAATTCTAGATTACAGGAAGAGGGAAAGACTTGGATATTTGAATATCCAAATCTACCCATTTAAATCTACAAATAAGTCAACTCTCGTGGGGGGTGGACTGTAAAGAGAAGAACCCGTTCCGGTTGAGATCTGCTGACTTCCAGTGTTACCACAATCCATGGGGGAAATCCACGAGATGTTTAGGTCATGTGACTCGAGCACTGAAGCACAGCCAAAATAGCCTCTTATCAACCAACCCAAGAGTGCAGGCACTCTCCTTCCACAAGGTGAAGAAGAAGAAAGGACTTACAGTTAATCCAGCAGCTGGAATTCCTGAAACCCGAACGTAGTTGGCCTTAGAGGCCTACCGCCCGCTGCATAGGAAACCTTGTAAACCAAAAAACAAGGGTGTCCAGATTGGAACTTGGTTGCTAAGGCACCGACTGCTCAGAGCTCAGTGTGCTGGTCTTCAGCAAACCCAAGCCAGCATGGAGTCAGCTACAGAGAGGCCACCAGCTTTCACTCTCATCTGAAAAGCCAAATATTCCAGTTCATATATTCGCTGGGCCTGTACCACACAGTGCTGTGTCCTCAGAAAATATCTGAGTCCCCTCAAGCTTTGTGGTGGTTCAAGAGTCCATCAGATGTTGGTTAGCATTGTGTGAGACTTAGATTATTAAAAAAGCTTTATCAGCTCTTCTCGGTAAATATAATATGATTCTAACAAAAAACATAGAAAATAATCTTTAAAACTCTTAAAATCTTTTAATAAAACACATGATATTTATGTATATGAAAATCCCTAGGAAATGGTAGAAATTTCAGTCTTAACAAGTTGGTTTCCTGTGACTGGGGTTTGAAGAAGCTTGTTGGCTAGTCATTGGGAACTGCCTTTTTGAGATGCTGCTGAAAGTGCAAACATCTATTGGGTAAAGTCTGAGAAAGGGAAGAAGACAGGGCAAGCCTCCAAGCTTTGATTTACATCTGACAGTTGTGAGGGGAGAAGGAAGGAAGTAGGAAAAACAACAGAAAAAGATCTGGCTCTGGAAGGATCTTTCTGAAACCTTGTAAGATCTAGAGCAAAGATTTCCCCTAAAGGAGAAATATAGAGTGGAAATGGGGTCAGGGTTCCCCACTATGCTAAGTCAAAGTCAGGGACTTCCAAGGAAAGTCTGAATGCTAGGGGTCACTCTCAGAATGGTGGGAAACAATGGGGAAATTTACAGAGATGATCTTTACTTGCAGAAGGCAGCCATCTACGTGTCTAACCAGCAAGTACCAAGTAGCCCTTGCCAGCCATGGTGACACTGTTGTCAGTGGACTATAACGAAAACGCATTGATTATACTATATTAGAAGAATATAAAATTTTAATTGTACTTGATTCTTAAAATAGATCTGCAAAGAAGGGGGAATTATCAGATTGGGAATAATAATTTTGGAAACTGTATTCGAGACCCAAATCTTCCAGTGACAGTTGTAGCTGGAACCAAAGTCTTCATACACAATTCTCCTATTCAGTTTCTTGAATTTGGCATGCCCAGAGTCCCAAGGATTTTATTACTCTTCAACTCACATTTAATATTCAGTTGAAAAGAACACTACTCAAAAGTGCAATTGGATTTTTGGTTAAGGAGATTGTAGTACCTATTATACATCCAAGATGCTTTTTTAAGTAATTCCCATTCTGCATCAACTAATGCTTTCTTCATCTTTGATATCTTGCTATCACACACACGTGCACACACACACACACACACACTGCACTGCACTGATACCTGGTGTGTGTGTGTGTGTGTGTATTGTGTCTTTGTGACCAAGCACTCATGGCTATTGGAATAACAGTGAAAGGGGAAAAACTAAGTATCACAACCACAGTAAAGATCGTCTGTGTTAGTTTCTCACTGTTTCTTGTATTTCCACTGTAAGGCTCATCACCGAGAACATGTGGATGAGGAACAGGTAATATTTTGATCTAGCTTATTTGTAATGGCTTTCAAAATTAGAGATTAGAAATCAATTCAATTTTCTGTTGCAATCAGCAGAGAGAAATAAAATTTATCCCAATTAACAAATTTAGGCCATTGTCTTGTGTATGTGTACATGATGGTTTCTATTGTATATTAGTGTTATCTGTATCTATTTTTTAATCAAGAATTCTATTTGTTTTAAGCACATTTGCATTTTTAACAATCATTAGTCACACCTGTGCTAATTCAAATGAAAGCAAATTTGTAATTAAATGTTCTAACATCTCAGTGACTAAGTGTTAAAGTATTCAAAATAATGTCTAATTTTCTTGGCCTTTTCCCCAAATAGTTTTAAAGTCATTTAGAAGCCATAGTTTGAGTAAGCTTAAAATATACTACGTAGAACAATTTTTGACATTTGAGCATTAGTACCTGCTCAGTTTTACAGGTAGAAATTAAAAGAACCTACTGCCTGTGACATAGGTCTAGAGGTCCGGCCAACAAGATGTACATTAAAACATGCAGTGCAGGAGAATAGACCTGGCCATTCTTTACCTTGAATCTCCACAACAGAAAAGGAGGTGTAAGGAAACTGTGTTTGGGAAAGGTTAAAAAGCTTCCCTCTGGGGCTGGTAGAGGGACTTCCCATGAGAGCTGAAGGATGCCACTAGAATACAAGCTCTGGCAGTGCAAATCATTACCAGTCTATTACTCAGCATTCTTCTGAGTCCTTCAGGTGCTAACCTAGGGATTTAGCAGTGACCCTCCTGCTGGACTGGAGACTGACCACAACAGAGGTGTCATCTAGAAAGACAAGAGATTGGTTCTGGAAAATTGTCTCACTTTATAGGGGGACAACTGTCACTGTCCTCTCGTTGTTCATCAATTTGCTCGAGTAGGCCCAGTAACATTGAGACTTGTTACTGTGTTTGGCATATCGAATACGTCACGGATAGCTTGCCAGGCTTTGCCTTGCGGGCGAGATGCTCTCAGTAGCTTGGCTGGGCTCTCCGAAAGGGGCGGAGAAATCGAACTCGGGTAGGCCATGTTGGCTGCGTGCAAGGCAAACGCCCTACCCGCATAGGGGGACAAGTATACAATTATTTGGTCTCTGATCCAGGGAGAATTTATTATTGTCTGTGATATGAAACAAATACCTCAAAATAAAAAGCAAACTTTGAATTATATTTTCTTCCAATAAATGTTCTGAGTGAATAAAGATGAAAACTTAATTAGAAAGGAAAGGTTGAGGAGCTGGAGAGATAGCACAGCAGGTGGGGGGTAGGGCGTTGGCCTTGCACGCGGATGACCAGGGTTCAATTCCCAGCATCCTATAAGGTCCCCTGAGCACTGCCAGGAGTAACTCCTGAGTGCAGAGCCAGGAGTAACCCCTGTGCATCGCCGGGTGTAATCCAAAAAAGAAAAAAAAAAAGAAAGGAAAGGTTGATAGCCTCATTATGTCACAATTTTAGATGTTCACGAAAAGTAGATGAAGTTAAGAGGTGGGTAGGGGGAGTCCAGCCAGGAACCGCTCCTGCCCCCCAGCCGCGCCTCTGATTCCCGCCTGAAGCCCAGCGGGGAGACTGTCCACCACCCTTCCTCCATTCCAGGATCCTGGGTGGGAGTGGCCTGGGATGGTCTAGGGGCGTGGCCACCAGAAAGGGGGCGTGGG